AATTTAAAGCATTTAAACCATTGAAAAAAGTGAAATTATTAGATAATACAACCAAATATTACATCTTATTTCAACAAATAATTTTCATTTCCGTATGTATTGTTCATTTATTTATTTATTTATTCTCTATAACGAATTTCCCTTTTGTCGCTCGTCTTCGATTCAGTTTTTATTGTTAATTTTTTCTTATAATGAACAAAAGCAGAAAAATGCATATAATTGACAGAGGGTTCGGTATAGAGAGAGAGCTTTGTATTATTAAAAAAATTTTGCCCGATCATCACCAATTTTGCCGCTGCGGACTTCTTGTCATAATAATAACAACGGATTTTTTTGGCTGGAACCATGAATCCACTGTGGCGAGGTTTGACTGTAATCATTTAGCATCTATTAAGTGTATAATAATAAAATTCAACAGGCGTGACTAAATTAACCGGTTAACCGGTTAAAGAATTTTGCGTGGTGCCAACCTCTAGTTTTTATGGAGATTTTTACCAATCTGATCATGAATAAAATCAACGACATTAATTGTTTTCATTTGCAATAGTATTTATAACTTGAATATCCATCTTCAACAATAAAGTAAATTTACAGTCACGAGAAATCAAATTAAATGCAGCTACGATCACCAAATTTGATTAGCCCTTAATCACGTAAACCATCTGCATTAAAATGTTGTGTCAGAAAAATGACGGTTTTGCTTTATATGTACTAATGCCCATAACGTAGCATACCATAATTCATATAAAAATTGTTTTACCTGATTTGGATACAACTTATAATAAAAAAAAAGCTTCTGCTATACCTAAAATAGTCATCCTACTTATTGAACTTTTATCAGCAAAAAACTTACCAAAATCAATGTTGCTCCAATTATGATAAATCAAAGGTCTTTGAAATTAAATCCTGAATTTTCTTAGTTCTAAACCAAATAAATTCTAAAAAAAGTTTCGATAATATTATTCAATTTGATTTGGAACCAGAATTTCTGGTTCTTTTGTAAATCAAACACCAACGAAAGTAAAAAATTTGTACCCAAAAAATTATTTTATCCTAATGATAATTCCGTTATCATTGTCATGCTTATTCTTTTTAATTATTAACACAAGTAAGTTTTCGTAAAGTAATTTAATAAAAAGAACAAGTATATCTTTTGATGGAAGTTGTGATGGAACTTATATTTCAGTTCGAGCTTCTTGAGTTGAATCAAAATCTTCTTTATCTTTCTTTTTTCTGGGTCCAGATTCCCATTGCTAGCTAGAGATGGGGAAATTTTAAAACTTTGTGCGAATGATACACACTTTATATGGATGTTGGACCCACTTTACCGACAGGACACTTTACCGACACCCACTTTACCAACAAGACACTTTACCAACAGGACACTTTGCCAACAGGACACTTTACTGACAGGAAAATTTGCCAACAGGACACTTTACTGACAGGACACTTTGCCAACAGAACACTTTATCAACAAGACATTTTATTGACAGGACACTTTACCAACAAGACACTTTACCAACAGGACACTTTACCAACAAGTATTGTGTTAATAATTTGCCAAGGACTGTGTGAAGACCTGGATAACTAGCTAAAATTTTGGTTTTTTACAACAAGTTAAATCAACCATTAATTAACTAATAACACCACTTATTATCCTTACTTTGCATCAAAAACAAGTTCATAAAAATACAATATAGATACATGTGTAATATATATTTTTTTTTGTCTGACAAAATTGATAAAAATGGGCAATGCCCTGAAGAAACTTTATAGTTGATCTAATGTTACGGTCATTTAATACTGTTTGAATCTGTATTTCACGATTACGATCTTGTGGTTTCTGTGGGAGTCGTGGTGTTCCTTGCAAGACCATTTCTACGTCAAGTTCAACTTTACTTAGATTGTCAGTGAAGTGTCCTGTTGGTAAAGTGTCTTGTTGGTAAAGTGTCTTGTTGGTAAAGTGTCCTGTCGGTAAAGTGTCCTGTCGGTAAAGTATCCTGTCGGCAAAGTGTCCTGTTGGTAAAATGTCCTGTTGGTAAAGTGTCTTGACGGTAAAGTGGGTGTTGGTAAAGTGTCCTGTTGGTAAAGTGGGTGTTGGTAAAGTGACCCAGACCCTCCAAAAAATCCTTATTCAACTACTAGTTGGTCAAAAATTTCTTTAGTCGAATAATTAGTCATTGCTGACAGAGATTGCAGCTAGCATGAAGGAAGGAAGGAAGCTACAAACCTGCTTGATGAAACTAGATCCTGATTTTGACACTTTTGTTGATGAATTCTCAACAAAACTAGAAAACTTTTCCATGTCATCCCAATGGATTAATCAAAATAATCGGATTAATTTAAGAAGTGAAATATATTTTCTAATATTGAATAAAAATATCATCAATAACAATATCATTAAAATTTGTTTATTTTTAATATATGAAATCCATCTCTTGTCCTTATTAAAATAAGTTTAATTACTAAATCAAAGTGGATACTTTGCAACAAAGTATTTTGTATTTGTTAGTTGGAGCACACAACTTGATGATCCTGATTATTTAGAATGTATTGTCAAAGGATTGAAGTTTGTGAATCAATGTTATCAAGTTATTGAATAACTACTACCATGATAGATCTGTTGAATTTAATCAAACAAGATTTTATTAAAAGTATAAGATTTTCCATTGAAATAAGTTAATGGTTTTGAAGATGATTTGGGGGCTGTTCTAGGAAAAAGTGGGTTTCTTCAGATTTTTTGTTTTTGAGATATTAGTCGGACGACATTTCACAGTGACTGATTTTAATATATGATCGACATGACACGTTTTCTGTACAACGGACTTTGGCGAATGA